ACTGCACTGCTGTTCATCCTCAACACTTTGCACAATGTGAGAATGTTTAATAATTCCAACCCAGCCTACAGATAAGAATCTCTGGTGTCACATCACAACTGACAGTGCTGGTGTGAGATTTGTAGTAAAACAATATTCCAGCTGTAGCTTTCATTTACAGAAATAAAACATCAGAATGGAGGGGAGGTGTGGGGGGTAGAAGATAAACATTTTAGTCTTTTAGCACCATTTATACAAATTACAGTGAAGCTATAAAAAGTGAATATTGAAAAGTAAGCAAAAAAGAGCAATTAGAGTGTAGAGATTTTTTTTTTTTATTTTACTGGCTCTTTTTAAAAATTACCAGTTAATATTTAACTTCTAAAGACATCCAGTGCAAGCAGATCACCAAATATAAATAACCTCTTTCCTAAATAAAGTGTGTGGCAACTGTGGGGCAGGCGGTCCTATTTTTCTCCAATTAATCATTAGAAACTGCACATGCAGGAAAAGTCTCGGGGGATATTTCTGGCTGGGAAAAAGATCCTCCCTCCTCAGTTCTAATCAGTCCATCCCATCTGTAATGGGTTTAGAAATTGTTAATGACATAAAGTGACAGTCGAAGGGCTTTTTGGTCTGTCAGTATAGGGTTTCTGTGAGCTCTCTAACAAACTACTACATGCAGTTCTCAAAGCTTCTGGAAAATGATCTGGATTACAAGGGAATAAATTTGATATGCTAGCAATCACAATCAGGAACTGAAAAGAAAGGCTTCCTTAATGCTGTTCTTTCAACCATAATGGTACTAAGACAAATCCGGCTGTGAGACAAACCATGTAAGAGGGTTACTAACACTTAGAATATAGGTCTATAGTATAGAATATGTAAAATATACAAACATCCGAATAGGAAGCTAAGAATAGGAACTTAAACAATCCTTTTGAAAATTTTATTAAATTCTGAATGCAGCTGTAATTATAAAACCTAGCAATTATGGATAAAGGCTAAGTGGAATAGTTTTAGATTAAATGCTTGCAATATAGATTGGAAGTCTGTGTGCATGCATATCCACCTATTTAGAAAGAATATAGAATATTCAAAGATAAATGTGTACCCAGAGTCAGAAAACTTTCCTTAATCAAAACTTACTGTTTGTGGACAGCAGTGCATAATTTGATCCTATTGACATTAAAAACCATTTTTATTCCATTTCATTCTAGACCTGGAGAATTAATCTCCCTGAATCTCACCATTTGTGAGTTGTATTGAATTAAATTATTTCATATTGAATTAAATTATTAAATTATATTTCTGAGTTATATTGAATTAAATTATTTCATATGTCAGACTGAGGATAACAGCTAGCAAAAGTTTAAACCATTTCAATTTGAAATTTAATACAAAACTCCACTAGAAGATCAAGATATCTAATATTACTTTTGGTACTATAGAAACCAAACAGATCAGATTCTGATCTCTCACAATCAAAAAAAAATCCTTGTATAGCTGATTAAAAGTAATGAAATTTTTGCATGAAGGAACTCAGGATCTGGTCAGCTGTGCATGCCTTAATAATGTATGCGTATTGGTGAATATGAAACATTGCTGGAGTAGGTTAATAATGGATATGGAAATGGAAATTTGCCAAGTTTCTTAAGACAAATTTGACTCTTCTAAAGCTAAGCATTATTTTTCCTATTAGTTTTTCAGTTTTCAGAAAATTGTCCGACCCTAGTGTGTCAGAGAAATTGACATTTCAAGAACTGGCATACATGCCAAGTTGCACTGAAGAGCATTAGAGCATTGTTCTGGAGAAACGCTTCAACCTCCTCATTTGTTGACACCCCCAATTTTTTTAAACTACCTAAAGGTGATGAAGGTCTATATACTTCCCAATTTTCTCCGCATAGAAATATTTTATCATATTACAATGTAAACCAGGAAATATTAAAATATCTATTCCTGAGGAATCACATGCAGCATGAGTGTGCCACTGGATGAGCTGACAGACTGTAGTGTTGCGCATGGCCCTTGGTAATGTGATACTGACAGCGGAAATTTAAACACGGAGCTCTTTCTAGGCACAGTGTACTCCTCACCTCTGAGTTAAACATCACCATCTTCAGGCAGTGATATTCCAACAATTTAATTGTGTCATACAGATGCTGTCTTCAGTAAAAGCAGTGTTTTAAATAGTCAGTAGATGCCAAACACCACAGTTAATATCTTAATATATCATCTCATTGGATTTAAACTTCATATTCCACAATATCAACTTAATCTAGAGTGTTACCATAGTAATCTATGAATGTTAGGCTTATCATTGTATGTCTCTGTCTGTTTACTCCACAAATTTTTGCAATTTAGACAGATCTCCATGCTCAAGTTGTGAAAAATTGTCTTCAGCTACTCCCCAATACCCTGAGTTTGCATAGATCCTTCACTTATTGCTATAAATCAACAGCTAGGAAAAATCAGTATTTTCTCAGCGAAAGTCACAATTCACCTCTTACTTGTGTTACAAAAGAATTAAGACTTTTTTTTTTTTTAAGGATTATGAGAAATTTTAGGAAGCAGTTGCTGGGTCAAATTCCTCTTGTAAAGCCCAGTTTCTCTTTACTATCTCTTCTCTTCATTGGCTTTGTCATTCAGTTCTTAAGTGTAACTATGATTTCCACCAAATTTTTGAGACTCAAGCTTTGGCTTACAAGATTCCAGCTTTCTTACCATGTACTTAACCCTCAGGAAGTGTCTGAAACTCCCTATACATTACACATACCTGAATAAATAGTACTGCTCTTCTTCTCAGTGACATTTTTAACCTATTTTTTATTCATTATTATTAGGCATAATATTTCTAATTAGCAAATTTGTGTTGCAAGGTCAAACACTGCTTTCATGACATTGAACTTGTTCACTTGGCTGACATTCCTGGCTGACCCTTGAAATTTTACTTTGACCATTAATTTCTGCATATACTTGGAGGTTGTGTTTGGGGTGAGAGGAGCAGAAATTTTGTCTGTACCTCTGGTTGTCCTCTTTTTCTAATTATTTTTCTGCCTTTGTTACAGAAGGAATTAAACAATGAGATGTCTCTATATAAATATGCGCTGCATTTGGTCAGCAACATATACATCTAATAAATTGGGATGTCACCACAGTTTCAGTTATTGATTCCATAAACAAGCACAGCTATCCTTAACAGTAGTAGGGGAAAAAATCTTAAAGGCTACACTGGAAATACTTACCTTGATCAGTAATGAATAAAATCAAAAGGGAATGATGTTTGTACCAAGGAAGCAAAATATGATATTTTCTAATAATTTTGACTTTCAGGCTAGAGTTTAATATTAAAGAAACATGTTCTATTTGTGTTTCATTTTTTGTATCTTCAATCATTTTACAACAATTATCAATAAAGTAAATTGAATATAAGAAGTCTCATTTGTATTTATTTTGGTAGTGACTCTAATTCTCTATAAAAAATAGGTAAAACAACCAACAAATCAAGTTAACATTTTATTGGACTCAGTAGCTAATATTGTTTTTTCCAGTCTTATCTAGACCAGTAAAATATAGTGAGAACCATACTGTCAAGAATTCCCTGGTTATTGCCATCTGCACTGCTCCATTAGTTTTTGGTTGGTTTTTTGTTGTTTGTTGTTTTTTTTTTTTTTCTGGATAGAGCACAGAAGTTCTGCTTTATCTTACAGTGCGGTGTTATTTTAGAAGGTATCAAACATATTATCTATCACTGTCTTCTTCTACTTGTTATTCTCTTCTAATTTCTCATTGTTCCTTCAGAAACATTCTTTGCTGCCTCCTCCCATTCTAGTCTCCCTCTTTCAGTATATTTCTCCTACTACTCTGCCCTCGATCAGCAATTTTTCACTCTCTGCACTTCACTCCTTATGTCAGGATCTCACAATCATAGCTGTTGACTAAACACCTACCCACATTCAGCATTGTGACCTACCTTCTTGATCTCTCACAAATGTGTAACTGGCACTTTAAATTAGCATGATAAAACAGATATTTTTATTTCCATGTTAAGCTTTCCTGCTTACTAAGCTCTCTATCAACACCTAGACCACCCCTTACTTGATGTTAAACAGCCTCAAGATTTGCACACATAAATTTTATTCATAGGAAACTCTGTTAAAAATTAAATTAAAAGGGACATTGACTCTTAAATCACAAATCGTCTGTGATAGCCACAGAAACATTTTTATTTCACACTGGTTAAATATTGTGAGTTGGGATCTCAATCTGTTTCTAGGAAGCTTTGTTCAGTTTGTTACTTTGCCCTCCCACCCTCCTGGTTTCTGTCTGTCTTGCTTTCCAGCCTACCACATCCTTTTTGATATCTGGATTTAAACTCTTTAAGCCAGAGAATCTCTTACTATTTGACCACAGAATAATTTACCACAATGGAAACATAATTTTTGTATAAGAATCTGAGATTCAACACAAAAAAAAAAAAAAAAAAAAAAGTGAACTAGGTTAATTATCTCGTTTTAGAGTGTTACTGATCATTCTAAATTGAATTTAGGAACAATTTTAAAATTGGCTACTGTTAATATAAAGATAAATGAAAGAGTCCTGTGGAGCAACTCTTAGTGGACAGAAGAAACACAGATCATACAGACAACCTTGATTCACAGTAAACCTTATTTTGAAAATTACAACAAAGTTTATTGTACTGGCCCTCAGCAAAAGGCTCTATTTCATCCTCAAAGTTCTTGTGACATGCTTTATGGTGACCTCCTACTCAGATCTGTGAAAGAAATGCAGAAGATGTTAATATTTTTTCTTTCTTTCTGTATGACAGTGACATTTTATGTTAATTTCATCTGCTCCTTGAGCTCTCAGAGCCAAAACATTCTGTGGGAGGCAGAATGATGTCATTTTAGTCATAGCATAATTTTTCAGCTGCTAGAACAAGACATATTGTGGCATATTCTTCAGTACTTTTTAAAAGTAGTGAAATATAAACTTAAGGTGATATATTTATGCATGAGGGGGTTACACTGCCTTTTTCAGCTCTTAGAGCTAAATAGCAGGTTTAAAGTGACATTATTCCTCCTCCACCAAATATTTTGCTTGCAGGCCTAAGGACACAAAATAACCTTGACCAAGTAATACCATTTCCAGTTATTGTAACTACAAGCAAATAAATTCAAATATGAATTTTGGGTTGCATTGGAGCCAGGTACTTAATTTAAATGTCATCCAGAAGAGACTGTCCATAGGATAAATTGGTTACTTTGTAACAGACTAAAAAATAAAATTAAACTAAAATGTGAGTAAAATCACTAAAATCTCCCTAGGACAAAAGAGATTAAAACTAGTAATCATCACAGAGGATACAACAAACAACTGCTGCATTGCTAGCTCTGTATTGGAGCCAGGGAAAGAACAAAACCAATGGGTCTCTCTAGTCAGATTTTTAAAGGAAATACAGATCTTAAGCAATGAAGAACAGCAGTGACACTGTCTTTCAATATATTCTGTTTCAATTGGTTCAATGTTAATTTTTTTTTTATTTGCATTATACACTGAGATAAAAAGCTGTTCCTGGGAAGTAATGCTTGAAAATGTGCACACAAAGTAGTAAGCATCAAATACTTATCAAGTTGAACCTTTATTCTAGCCAAGTTTAAAACCAAAGCTATTACTCCATTAGAGAAATATTTCTGCAAGTCATTAACAAAGATGCATGCATTTTAAACAGTTCATTCACCCTCAAAAAGTGGCTGCTTCTTTGCGTTAATCCAGAAAGTATTTCAAGCTTCTGTAGTGACAACAGAGTAAAGAATCATAATTAAGATAGGAGCACCTTCACATTCAGAAGCCCTGGTCCTCACGTGGGACATCAACTACCCCAATATCTGTTGGAGGGACAACAAGCAGGGCATAAGCAATCCACGAGGTTCAGGGATTGCACTGATGATATCTCCCTTTTCCAAGTGATAGAGGATCCAAAAAGGAGAAGTGCTGTGCTGGACCTTGTTCTCACTAATAAGGAGGGGCTGGTGGGAGTGTCAAGATCAAGGACAGCCTTGGCTGCAGTGACCATTAAATGGTGGAATTCAATATCCTTTGAGCAGTGAGGAGTGCGCACAGCAAGCTCACTACCCTGGACTTCAGAAGAGCAGACTTTGGCTCTTCGGGGATCTGTTTGTTAGAGTACCATGCGATAAAACCCTGGAGAGAAGATAAGCCCAAAGAAAGATGATTAAAGTTCAAGGATCACCTCCTCCAAGCTCAGGAGCTATACATCCTAACAGAAAAAGTCAGGTTAAAATGCTGGAAAGACTGCATAGATGAACAAGGAACTGCTGGACAAACTCAAACACAAAAAGGAAGACTAAAGAGAATGGAAGCAAGGACACATAGCCTGAAAGGAATACAGAGAAATTGTCCGAGCAGCCAGGGATCATGCTAGGGCACATGGAAAAATAAGGAGGTGATTGGTGACAGCCAACATGGCTTCACTAAGGGCAAATTGTTCCTGACAAATCTGGTTGCCTTCTACAATGTGGTTAGAGCATTGGTAGATAAGGGAAGAGCAACTGACATCATCTACCTGGAATTGTTCAAAGCATTTGACACTGTCTCGTGTGACATCCTTGTCTCAAAATTAGAGAAATGGATTTGGCAGATGGACCACCTGATGGATAATAATTGGCTGGATGGTTGCACTTGAAGAGTTGAGGTTAGTGGCTCGATGTCCAAGTGGAGACCAATGACAAGTGGAATTCCTCAGGGGTTGGTGTTGGAACCAATGCTGTTTAACATCCTTGTCAGCAACATGGACAGTGGGATTGAGTGCACCCTCAGCAAGTTTGCAAACACCACCAAGCTGTGTGGACACACTGGAGGGAAGGGATGTGCCATCCAGAACATCCTTGACAGTCTTGAGAAGTGGGCTGATGTGAACCTCATGAAGTTCAACAAGGACAAGTGCAAGGTCCAAGGCAATCCCAAGTACAAATACAGGCTGGGCAACAAATGGATTGAGAGCAGCCCTGCAGAGAAGGACTTGGGGATATTAGTAGATGGAAAACTGAGTATGAGCCAGCAATGTGTGCTCACTGCCCAGAAAGCCAACCGTACCCTGGGCTGCATCAAGAGAAGCATGTCCAGCAGGTTGAGAGAGATGATTCTCTCTCTACTCTGCTCCCATGAGACTCCACCTGTACTTCATTCAACTCCGGGGTGTCAAGTATAAGAAGGACATAGACCTGTTGGAGCGAGTCCAGAGAAGGGCCACGAAGATAATCAGGGAGCTGGAGCACCTTCCAGTAGATTGAGATCAGATATAAGGAACAAATTCTTCCCTGTGAGGGTGGTGAGGCCCTGGCACAGGTTGCCCAGAGAAGCTGTGGCTGCCCCCTTCCTGGCAGTGCTCAAGGCCAGGTTGGACGGGGCTGTGAGCAACCTGGGCTAGGGGAAGGTGTCCCTTCCAACACAAACCATTCCATGATGCTGTGAAGAAATACATTTTGAACATAATTGTTCTCCCCAGTTTATCTACTTTAACTGGCTGTGCACAAGGCATTAGGCACCGCCTGCTCCAGGTGAACTGAGCCGTCAGAATCACCAAGCATGTGACAATGAATGATTGCATAGCGGTGGCACATAGGCAATAAGGTAGGCATGATTTGTACAGTTTGGCCATTTATTCCTCTCTCTCTTCAGGTATCCTCAGACTCCTGCAGTACCAAGGGGAAGATAAGAATAGACAGGTAGACAATAAAAATAACCCCCCACAAGCAACCCTCTTTTCTCAATTCAAATGTTTTTCTGTTTCACCCATAGGAAGTAAACTTTCATGTGAGATTCAGTGTGTGCTTCCTAATGCAAAATGATGTATTAGTAATAAGACAGGGGAATATTTACTGTCTTTTCTATTTATCTGGAAAAAGGATATGCTACCTGTCGAATAACAGAACGCACTCTGAGATCTAGGAAGAAAACTCTGGGCAGCATTAGTGTTTCTTTGTGCTCAGGGGAATTTAAACAGTCTCTTGTTTGTTGATTACTATCAGAAAGCCACGGAGTTGGAAATTTTTCTTTATAATTTCTCTCCTTCACAGTATACATGCACTGCAATGCCTAAATCTAAAAAAAAACCCAAACCAAAACAACAGCCCACAAAAAAACCCCAATCCCTAAAAGGCTAGTGAACTTTGTAACTCAAAGCACATGATTATTTCAAAAACCATGGTTTTATACAAAGATAATGCTCTTGTATTTTAAATACCACCAAATTTTGATTATTCTCTTTTTACTGGTAACATAATTCCAATACAAAATATTTTCTATTAGACTTTTGGATGGAATATTTTTTTCAGTCAGTAACATAGCTGAGATGTGATAACTCATGATGATCTCCAACTACTCTTGAATATAGTGAGGTAGAAAAAAAACAATGGACATCTTTTTTCACAGAAGTACATACTACACTTCTATGTACAATGTTGAATTGTGTTTCTATGGGTTTTTTTCAGAACAAAATCTTGATTTTCAACTTTGAGTCATTTAGAAATCTAAATCTGTATCCAAATGACCCTTAATTACGATGTTGTAAATCCTCGTTAAATTCATATCTTAAAAAAAAAAAAAAAAAAAAAGGGGGGGTCCAGTAGACAGATATTCAAAATGGATAAACTCCAGGCACCTAACTCTTCCTAAGTGAAGTTTCATATTATCAGTTTCTAGATAGTAACATGTTTAAAATGAAAGGATCATTCAAACAAAAAAGAGAAATCCCGTTACTGAAAGTATGGATATTTCATAGAATGCATAATTATTACCTGTAGCTTACATTTTTCACTAATAAAGTGTCACACAGACTATATACTAATGGGCAAACTGTACTCACTAACCTTTTAATACTTTACCCTTTTGTACAAAGACCAAGCATTATTAGGTAATGAAAGAGTGTATGAGAAAGTAGTAGATTATTTATGATAGAAACAAAATGAAACTAATGGGACAAGATTTGAAAGCTGTGATGCATGAAAGGTGCTATAGACACAGCTTTGGCACCATGACAAATAAAGATAAAGACTCAGTGGGAAGCAACAGTGTGAACATGACTATGAAGAAGAAAGAATAGATTTACTGAATGAATCCTTACCATCTGGTGTTTATTTAATACACAATGAAGGTCAAATGGCTAGTGATCCCTTTTTCTATAGTCCAGTGACCAAAAGAATGGGAAGAATCAATGAATTTATCAATATGTCTGGAAATGTTTCACCATATGATCTGATTGAGTCAATATTATTGGAGCAACATGTTCATTACTATTTCAGATATGGTTTGGAAGAGGCTCTACGAATAAGTACATTTATTTTTTTCCCCTCTGTCAGAAGTTTCATCAAAATACACTTCATTGTGTAAAAGCAGATGCACTTAAAGAAGTAAAATTTATCTAGTAACATTAAAGAAGCTTGCAAAACAAAATTATATCTTACAAGTCAGAAACAGAGATGGTTTGTGCTAAGCCCTGTGAAATCTTTTCCTCCTTTGTTTCATTCTTTTCTTCCTATTCTGCTACATTGAATACACATCTGGTTTATGTAATTATACCACAGGGACATATTAAATTTTAGTGAAATACGTATATTAGGCATTATATGGAAACAGCGTATGCTAAGAGTAAATCTTATGTATGTTTAAGAGTCTTCTTTTACATAACATTCTGTCTTCTTGGAGGTTCTCACAGATCTATACTTTCCTTCTCTAACACACCTGTATCCATAATATTTGCCCATACTATTGTACGACTGCCCTTGTTGACTGGAGTTCTCTTAGCTACTAGATTGATAATGAGTTGAAAATCTGGTGAAAGATTTTAGTTTAGGTTTTGAAACAGATAGGAATATGAGACTTTTTAAAAGCTAAGCAGTCAAATGCTTAAAAACATTCTTATACCAACCTCCAAAACAGACAATGTTAAAAGATGTAATTTAAGACTATATACCTTAAAAACATCCTTCAAACAATACCTTAAAAATTTGTAAAGAATACTAACTTGGTGTTTGCAAGATTAACCACTGGAACTCCTGACTGATGTTTTCATCTCTATCACCCATTTGTTGTCTGTCCTTGAGTAAAAAAGTTTTTATTTAACTACTTTTAAGGTAGGTGTAATAATAAATGTCACAAGATCATAGTGAGTCCTCATTTTTTACAATATATTTTTAAATTATTGAACAGAAAAAATAGCATATACATGCTAATTCAGCACTGGCCTCATTTCTAATGACTAAAATATCCCCAGAGTTTTAATTAGGACATGAAAAATCTTGAATTAAAATGTAAATTTTATGACTTTTCATTAATATGGATATATTGTGGCTAATAATTCAGAGTTTATACACACAACCTATCTGTGGTTCTGCCTTTGTATTTCACAAATGAAATTCAGCTCTCATTTGTATCATATTTTAACTCAAAAATTACAAATACAAGAAAACTAGGAATAGTAACTAGGTTCTGCCCTCTACCGGTGGTATTCCCACTCTGGATTTCTGGCAATGGGCAGCTAGCATGATTACCCAGAATACTTCTAAGTTATTGACAAGGTTCTTAATTAAGCAGAAGTAAAAATACAGTTTCAAATATGAGTCATTCATCTGTGAAAATATGAAAAATCAAATGAAACAAAGCCCCAGAAGATCTTAGAAGTGAATTTGGTAAACATGGAGAAAATTCAAACACCAGTGACTATTTATCAAACCTCTCTTCCTCACTCTTTTTAATTATTCTTAATCATTCTCTTCCCCGCTACTTATGTTAAATTACAGTGTGTTATTTACCCTAACATGTCTCATTATATTGGAAAATGGCTGATACTACTTAACATCTATATCTATATTATTTAACATCAACCTATCAGTTGTATGTTGGGATCAGCCACAGAGGTTAATGTTGTGTGCTACTCTAGTTTCTCATCTCCAGCTAGACACATTTTTCTTATCTTAAGCCATCTTTCAATGTTTGTGATGAAAACATTCTCAAATCGGGTATAATGGGGATGCTTCCTGGACAATCAATCAAACCCGCCATTTTCCATTCTTTTTTCTTTTTCCTCTCTCTCTCTTTTTATCTAGATACTCTATTCTTTTCTCAGAAACCTATCCAGGATAGGACAGATGTGAGATATCCTTTTAATCATCCTAATATATTCAGTTCTAAGTTTCCTATTTCAGTACTGTGCCTTGTTTGGTTCATCAAAACATACCAAAAGCCTTTTTTTTTAATCACCAAAGGAAGTTCTTACTTGCATAAGCTCTCTCCTTGCATGCCCTGGTATATTATTACCTAAGAAAGCCCAAACAGATTTAATGACTTACCCTTTGTCTATCCTACATCAACTTTATTTTTTTCTGAAACTTTCACTGTTCATCAACACATGTAGTTAACTCTTCTCTGTTACCATGTTGAGGAGGACACAGTTAAGGATCAGATTTTACAGTGCTCCCACTTCTACCAGGGGACTAGTTCATAGAATGAGAAAAGATAATGAAGCACGAGGCAAGATATATCATTTTCTGTCTTTTTGCCTAGTGAGAGCTTTCAGCAGTAATGGCGAAAGGAGTTCACAAAATGTCATCCATTCACACTTCATTACTCTAAAGTGAAGATGTGCAAGAACAGAGAGTATGTAGGGTAAAATCAGGCCCAAATTCAGAATCCCTCTTACTGATCCTCCCTGGTCCCTCAGTGATTTATAATTCCACCTCTGCTGCAGAGAGGTAGAGATCTCTGCCTATTACTTTGCACTATTATTTGCCAGCAACATATTTCAGCTCAATCAACAAACTTCGGTGTCAGCAGCAGGTGACAGGTTTCTTGTTCTTAAGATTGTCCTAATGGCACTTTCTGTTGCTGTTGCTTAGGTCTATGTTTATGCAAGTGCTGTGAATTTGAGGTGTTAATCAGCAGCTCTAATTACTAGGGTGGAATGAACATTCTAGGATTGAGTTCATTTGGTTTTCATAAACAAGGTTTACCTGAGGCTTTGTTCACATAGAAATGAATTGAAGATGATGATAGAAAACCAGCGTATAGTCCCTTGAAACCATCTTTAAACTATGTGGTTCTTTGCTGATAATTTTAGATGAAACAGCTTTTTCCATCAGAAAAAAAATTAAAAAAAAAAAGGAAAATTAGTAGTCACTGAGCCAGAAAAGGCTTCTTGAAATGAGTTAAATTCATATCTCATTTGATTAACATCTCCTATACCAGTAGTTTAAGGGCCAAGGAAGATTTGGAAAATGTGGCAAGCTAATGACTTCATAGACATGGCCATTCTACAGCAATAAATAAAGAAAAAAGATTGTGTAAATCATTGAACTTACCTTGACAAACTCTCATGGATATATGGATATGGAGATTGGATGGGTATGA